TTCTCATTAATGGGAATAGTCCTGACTTCTCATGATCAGCAGCATTGTGCTTTTGTCTAGATCTGGCTAAATGACTTGACCCCACATGAGGCTTGTATGGTCCTGGGTTTCCAGATTAACAGAGCTGATCAAATGAAGGAGCAAACTGGAAAGTCAACAAGTTAGACAACCTCACTCCTCAGGGTCTGGGAGCTGTCTAGGAGGGGAACACACCACACATTGGCTCAGGTATCTCCTTTTGAAGTCAGAGGCTGACCCTGAACCATTTCAGTCCAAATCAACTATTAACATAAACCATGATGAACAGTAAAACAAAGGGAAGGTTTAATTTAACCATGACACAAGGATGCTGTTGTCCTGCTGCCCTGGATGACCTCACCTTGCTGAGCTGCTCCAGAGCTCCCCAGGTGGTTGGCCTCACCTTGTGCTGGTGGTTCAGGGCGGGGGCATCACCAGTACACTCCTGGTCTTTTGTTGATTTAACCCCCCGCCACATAGACTGAGTATCAGTTTGCATAGAGTTGGACACACCCACACTACACACTTTCACACACAAAAACAAAATTTAATAAGCCCTTTGTCTCTTTTGTTAATGTCTGTTGTCTCATCTTCTATGTTGTGTTATTGTTGCAATAAAAAAAGAAAGTAGAGGGGAGGTGAAATCTCCTTCTACACACACAAAGATTGGTGCAAATATGTCACAGTGTTAGCACAAACTTGTAACTCAGACTTAGAAGCACTATTCTTTAACTGCAGACCACTACATTCACCTAGAGCAGGGGTGCCCACACTTTTTTGCCTTGCGAGCTACTTTTCAAATGACCAAGTCAAAATGATCAACCTACACTAAAAATACTACACACGCATACATGTATGAATGAGTGTCGTAGTTTTTATGGACGGTCTGAAAGTGCCACTCCACATTTCCCTTCTTCGGAATAGTGATGGTAGATTGGTAGATCAAGCAAACGCATTTCGAATATAACGCCACAAAAAAAAAGTCCTCCTCCCATTCCATATGGAATATTTTCAGTACATTTTCAGTTTCTTACTTGATTCAGCTCCCCCACTCATTTAATACCCTTTCTTTAGTAGAAATTAATTTGAAGGCTGACAAGGTAGTTCGCTCACTGGAGTTTTGCAGTAGCTCGTGTGGTTGACTGTGCATGCTTGGTGACTCATATGTCAGAATAGACAAGATCTCAGACTGGCTGCCCTGCATGTCAATCAAGTAGCAAATGCCATAGGGAGGATGGATGATAGGCTATATATGAATGATTGGCACTTTCTGCTTTTCCCATTAGGGGTCATCACAGCGGATTGTCACACTGACCATTCGCATGTTAACATTTGGCACGTGTTTTTCACCGGATACATCTAATTTATTTTTGAATGGCATGCGATCAACCAACACTACCTTTGCGATCGACCGGTCGATCACGATCGATGTATTGGGCTCCCCTGACCTAGAGAAATCACGTTAATTTTGCCCAGTGTTTATATTGTGCCCCAGGCTTCCACTTACCCTGCACTGTAGTACCTAGCAGACCAGATAACTAGCATGGAACAGAAACACTCAGACTCACTACTCCGCTGTAGGAGATTTTAACAAAGCAAACCTCACACACAAACTGCCCTAATACAGACAGCATGTCAGTGGTCCCACTAGGGACAAAAACACATTATACCACTGCTACACAGTAGTAAAGGACGTCTATCTCTTTGTCCCCTGTGCAGCCCTCGATCTCTCCAATCACTGCATGGTCCATCTCATCCCAATCTATAGGCAAAAACTTAAAGCTGTGAAGCCTGTGGTCAAAACAGTGAAGAGATGAACCAAGAAGGCTAAGTCAAAGCTGCAGGTCTGTTTTGATTGTACATACTGGAGTGTTTTTGAAACAGCAGCTACAGACCTGGATGAACTCACTGACACTGTGATATTATAAATCAGCTTGTGTGAGGACATGCGTGGGCCCACCAACACCTTCTGCACATACAATAGCAGCAAGTAAGACCTCCAGTCACAGCACAGAGAGGAGGCACATACACACCACCCAACCCCCCGCCTCCCCTCCACTAACTGTCTCACCAGGCCAGGTATGCACAGTCCTGAGGAAGATCAACCCCTGCAAACCGGCAGGACCGGACAACATCCCTGGGAGGGCTCTCAGGGCATGTGCCAGCGAGCTGGCTGATGTTCTCACCACCATCTTCAACCTCTCCCTCAGCCAGAGCATCATTCCCCTTTGCTTTAAGACCACAACCATCGTCCCCCTTCCCAAGAGCCCGGTCACCTGCATGAACAACTACAGGCCAGTGGCACTCACCCCAATTATTATGAAGTGTTTTGAGAGAGTGGTGCCGGCGAAGTCTGTACCCCACCCTCTGTGACCGGCTTCTGGACTTTCTGACTGGCAGGCTTTCAGCCAGCACTGTTACAAACACTGGCACCCCACAGGGATGTGTCCTCAGGCCCATCCTCTACACCTTGTTCACCCACGACTCTGTCACCTCCCACAAAGACAACATCATCCTAAAGTTCGCGGACAACACCGCAGTGATAGGTTGCATCAATGACGGGGACGAAGCAGCCTACAGGAGGGAGGTGGCCAGTCTGGTGTCATGGTGCAAGGACAATAATCTCAGCCTCAACACGGACAAGACAAAGGAGATGATAGTGGACATGAGGAAGGAGAGGAGATCTCATCCGGGGGCTCGAAGTGGAGAGGGTGAGCAGCTTCAAACTCCTGGGCATCTACATCAGTGAGGACCTCACCCAATGGCGGCTGTACTTCCTGAGGAGGCTGAGGAGGTTTGGCATGTCGCCTAGGATCCTTTGCAACTTCTACAGCTGCATCATTGCGAGCATCTTGACCAGCTGCATCACTGTCTGGTATGGTAGCACTACTGCTATGGACTGCAAGCGCCTGCAGAGAGTGGTGAAGACTGCAGCCTCCATCCTCAAAGATCCCACCCACCCCCAGCACGAACTGTTCACCTCCCTAACCTCTAGCCGGAGGTTCAGAAGTGTGAAATGTAGGACCACTAGACTGAAAAACTCTTTTTTTCCCTCAGCCATCAGACTCCTAAACAGCTGAGGCATTTATTACCAGGAAATATGTGATGTACTGTTTACATTCTCAGTTTGCACATGCATAATTGCACAATGACTGTTGACTGCTGCACATGCTGCTCCCCTGCAGCATACACTCTTCGTTATGTTTTAATATATTGCTGCATTTGTTGCTGCTTAAAGTGTCTTAGATTTTGTTACTTATTTGTGTTACATGCATAATTGCACAATGACTGCTGCACATGCTGCTCCCATGCAGCATACATTTTCTGTTATATTCATATATTTTTTATTATATTGCTGCATTTGCTGCTTAAAGTGCCTTATATTTTGTGTTACTTATTTATCTACTTTATATTTCATTTGTATTTTTGTGGCATTCATGTAGACGGCAAAGTAAGAATTTCATTGTACAGGGAAGCACGTTTCCTAACTGTGCATATGACAAATAAACACTTTGAACTTTGAACTTGAAGTGCTGGTTGACAGCCAAGCTCCGACAGCTTCATCATGTCAAAGAGGAGACCTACAGGTGTGGGGACAGGATCCTGTACAGGCCGGCCAGGAACATATTGACAAGGGGGATCAGAGTAGAACAGAGGAGCTACCCTGTAAAGCTGAAAACCCGGTTTTCAGCCAGTGACCCTTTGTCTGTGTGGAGAAGCCTGAAAAACATCACTAGCTACAGGACACAAATGAATGCACCTCAGGGGACCCCTCTGTTAGACTCCTGAAGTTTGCGGATGACACAGCAGTCATTGGTCTCATTCGTGATACTGACGAATTGGCATACAGACAGGAACGTGAACAATTGGCACTGTGGTGCAGACTCAACAACCTGGAGCTGAACATGTTCAAAACAGTAAAGACTGGACTACAAACCCTCCTCACCATACTTAGCAGCATTGTATCAACAGTCATGTTCCTGGGCTCCACCATCTACCAGGGCCTGAAGTGGATGTCCAACATCAGGGCCATCACCAAGAAGGCACAGCAGAGGATGTACTTCCTGTGCCAGCTCAGGAAATTCGACCTGCTCCAGGAGCTGCTGATACAGTTCTACAGAGGAATCATTGAGTCTGTTCTCTGCACCTCCATCACTGTCTGGTTTGGCTCAGCAACCAAACAGGACAGGAACAGACTCCGGCAAACTGTCATGAAGTGCTTGCTCAAACGGGATTTGTTGGGTTTTTCCTCTATAATACTGTAAGGTCTAGGCCTTGCTATATGACATGTCCTGAGATGATTTTTGTTGTGAGTTGGTGCTATACAAATAAAACTGAATTGAATTGAATATGGCTTCTCTACTAACTTGTCAGAAACCACCTCGCTACTACACAACGTGTAAAGCAGAAAATGTGGCGTGGCTGCTCATAATGTGCTTTGAGCTACGTACAGAAACAGCATTACAACTAAAGCACAGTTATTACATTTGCATATATATCTCATATTGGTTTTATAATAAAAAGGAAATGTTAACAACTACTATGGTGGTAAAATAAGCCAACACAAGTCGATAAATGCAGTTTAGCTAACTACTAGCTTAGCATGCTAACATGTTATTCACAGAGTGATTCAAAACAAAACTAAAAGAATCCATAGGTCTCCAGACTGACAAAACCCAGGATAATAAGAACTCAGATTATGTTAACTGAACAAAATTAATTTTTACAGCTCTTGGTATCGTTCTGTGTCATCTCTCAGCAGGCCCCAACCATCCATCCATTATCTATATCACTACTGTCACCAAAATACAAATATTGTCAGTCACACCCGCATGTGTAGAAAGTTCCCTAATGTTTGCACTTGACCTAGTTAAAAAAAAAAAGGTCCTGGAATGTCTCAGCAGTGGCAGTCCTAGTACTGCAGTAGGAGTAAAGTTGAAGTAGTAATGTTGGTAAAGTAGTAGTATGAGTTAGTGTCTTACCAGTGGTAGTAAGTGTAGTTCCAGTGTACCACCCTGAGCGTCCTCCCCACGTGGTTTGTCCGTTGAGCACCTTGAATTTGTCAAACATCCCTTCAGCCCCCACTGTGCCCATTTGCTGCTTTTCGCTGGCTAGGTTCCTGAGCACTCGATTTATTGATGAAACCTGGTAATAATTACAGTTTTATGGTTAAACAGTTATGGTTTTGTTTTATGTTGTTTGTTCTGACCAAGACACTCTTATAAAAGAAATTTTTCATCTTAGTGAGGTTTTCCTGGTAAAATAAAGGTTAAAAAAATACATGAGAGCAGCTACATGGATATGAAAGACAGGTGTGGATAGAATCTAAGAAAGCAAACCCTGTCCACAACCAAACCAAATGCATTTATCACCCACTATCAACCTTTAACCAGGCTAGACTTATTTATTAAAAGAAACAGTACAGAAAGTTAATTAGGTTTGTTAATTTTAAATCACTGGGTAATGTCAAAGGCTTTGTATAGAATCCGCACCTGTCTTGTTAGTTTTTCTGCCTTTTCATTTTTATATGATATAATCCATTTTATTTTACAGTATCAACCCATAAAATCTACTATGTACTAATAGAATGACTGCGCACAAATGGATGAGTTATAGTACATGACTTACGTGTCTTTTTAACCTCGACTCATATTTTGTCTGCTGTGTTTATGGATTTTGTTTAAAATGTAGGCTACTTAATGACAACATTGTATAGAATGATTACAAACATAATCCATAATGTTGAAGGCAGATTTGATTGATTTTCTTCTGACTGTCAACTGTTCCAATGATTCTGTTAATATTTACCCAGCTAGTCCAGTTGTACTTTCCTTTTTCTTCCATCAATCATTAAATGAGAGTATCTGTGCTGTCCCTGAAATTACATTTACTAGGTAAATATATTCTGCTGTCGTATTATTATTTTATGTTTAGCCTACATTGAGATTTCAGGCATACAGTAGTATCATCATGGTTTTAGGTCTGAAGTGACAAGTAAAAAGAAAGGCAACACTCAAATTTAGTGCTCCTTGCACAAATTCCCACAGTCGCAATTAAACCTTCTTGTACACAGGCTACTGCTGTGTACTTGTGAATCTTCTACTTTTGCGCTTGAATTTTTGTGAATTAACCCTGTCGAAAGTCCCCAGCCAACAGAACTGACAGGTGTTAACAAATGAAATGATCGTCGATATGTTTTGGATGCATTTGCTTTACTTTCCGAGTGTACCATGTGGGCGGTTACTATTGTAACACTGCTTCTTCTTGGCTGTGTTACTTCTTGGTAATTATCCTACTGTTCTGGTGTTACTCCTCTTCTGTTAATTAGTAACACAGAAAACACAGGAGACGAAATGTGAACTTTTATGAAACTTTATAAAACGTGCTGCTCTGCAGTTCATAATACATACACTGTGTAAAGCACTAGCTCCCACTTCTTCTTTGTTCACCTGCGCCATTTTTTCAACATTTGGCACGCCAAATCTGCTTGAAAGTACAATACAAAATAGAATTCAAAAGAACTATACAAACATCTTTTATACCTGCTGACTCTTTAGCTGACTTATTCATTTTGTTCACAAGGACGACACAAAACAAACAGTTTTATATTTTTAATAACTGTATAAGAGTAAACAATGTTATAAACACTAACTCATTATACTAAAATTCATTATGTAACTAAATTTAAGAGCATAAACAGACAGTCAACACTATAGGTGGCATTCTATTGGCTGGGGAATTTATGTTATTTATGGTTATTTCACAAAAATGTGAGAGCATAAGATCCAAGAACAGAAGTTTTGCAAGCAAGCAGCAGCAGCCTGTGTGTTGAGGAGAAGGTTTGTCAGCACAGAGTTTACAGTGCAACCAGGTACTGTTTTAAGTGCAACAACAGGGTTTGAATACAAGCATGTACATTTGTATGTGAGGACAGGGAAGCTCTCAAATTGAAAGATGGTGCTCTTGATTAAAGCTCTGTATGTGGACTCACTTTTCCACATACTGAACTTTAAAGATCTAACAAAAGCATCACATGTTTGAATGAGAATGAGAAAGTAGAAGAATAATCATAGTAATAATCTAAGTATCTTGTCCTAGCTGCTTAGTACACACTGGTTTCTTAAGTTTGCATCTGTCTACTCAAGTGTTTTAGTGCCAGTACCTTCCTACTCCTGCAAACTCTTAGTACCAAGCTTACCTGCAAATGTGCTGTAATAAAAATATCAAGGTCTTACCAATGAGTCTCGACTTTTAACTAGCTGGCCCTGCACAAATCTTTAATTAACATGACTTATTGAAAAACAAGGGGTCTTACACTGGGTATATTGTCATTGGTGCAGACTCCTTCTGCCAGTAGTCGGTCTCTGATCTCCCAAGCAAAAATGGATGGACACTCTCTCTTGTACTGAGCGATCTTTCCCACCACCTCTGGAGTGGCCACCCTGGGTTTACTCCCTCCTATAGCCCGAGGACGAATAGAACCTGTCTCGTAATATCGGCCCAAGATCTTACTCACACAGCCATTAGACACCTGGACCCAAAAACAGCACACATTACACACATTACTGACAGAGACCCAACTTTCAAAACAGTTCTGTTTGTTAAATGATATAGGGAATGACCACAGTAATGGTTAAAGGGGAACTCCACCAATTTTACACATTGAAGTCTCTTAACAGGTAGTGAAGACCACTCCTTCTCATGTGGTCCTCTGCCTTTTGTGACTCCAGATGGGAGAGATGTGCCTGGTCTGATAAACTGTCTCAAGTGATGTCACTTGAATGATATAAATATTGACACTTCTTTTGTCCATCACAAGTCTAAGAATGTTCTAATATTTCTATGCTAAACCAGTGGAAAATTCTTTTAAAACAGCCCTGTGGTAGCTGTAGGAACCAGAGAATGAACAGTGGCCTTTGCTGTCAAGGTCAGTCCAGTCATCCAAGCACTGTGGCTTTGTAACAACATCACACCACTTCTATCTTTGTTCCTGACAGATGACAGTCAGAATTCACATGGCCACCAGAGCTTGAAAGTTAAACATAAAAATAGGTCATATTTGAGCAAATAACTGATTTTCTTGACCCAGATCCCCTTCTCTATGTCTTGTAGGGTTGTGCATTGTAACATTTCACCTGTGTGTGTTTGTGTGTGAGCATATTAATATAGTTCTCCGTACCATACCTGTAGGTACAGTATGTACTACCACTGAGTTTAATTATCACTTAAACCTCTCAGCACAATGAGTTTACCTGTAGTATTCTGGATATGTCACAGGGTCGAGCTCCACTGTGTGCCAGCTCCACTATCTTCTGCCTGGTGGAATCGGGTAAGGGTCTTCCATTCACAAACACACCTCCCAGCTGGTTTACACCACTGTGACCTACACACACACACACACACACACACACACATTTTAAAAAGATTTTCTGCAATTTGTTTACTAATTCCTATTTGACTCTACTTTTTTAGGAAATGATTTGGTTTAAGGCAGAAAGACTAACTGATAAGGAAAAAAGAAGTCTAACTACAATGAGGGTGATAGCCACACTGATCAGGTGCATGTATGTGATGAGCAGGGAGAACAGCAACAAACCCAGGTTAGAGACAAGCATATTAAACCTTTCTGTGCTCAAAAACACGTATTTCTCTATTTTTAGTACTTGCTAGATTTTAACATCTTAATGTTATAATCTGGCTTCTTTAGATGTGGAATGTGAATGCATGTGAATGTGAATACATTTAATTTACTGGTTATCAAAACTGATGCTTTGATGCCACTGGCCCACCCCTGGTGAAGGACTGACCTGTTTTCAAACGTGACCTCTTACAGTGACCTCTCAGCCTTGCATCTGCTGAGGTTTATGGGTTATCTCTGAGATGAAGCAGTATGATCCACAGTCAGACAGCAAATTAACTACTATTCAATACTGTACGATACACAGTATGAGGTGTACTACGTTTCATATTACAGATGATGTGTTAAAGCTAAAACAATAAAGTGTGTCTTCTGTGTTTCAGTCATTTCCTTATGATTCCATTAAAACGCTATACCAACTCATTTATATGACAGGTGAAACTATTTTTGATTCAGTATATAGCCATAAAGATAAGTTTGATACTCAGTTTGGGGAATGAATTAAATCATTCTAACACTCTTCAGATTTGTTTAGAATGAGCACACTTGACAGGCCTGAAGTGACTTGAGAGACCCAACTTAGGGCCAAAACCTCCAGGACATTTAAATCCCAGATAAGTGCATTTAAATGATCACCTTAGAGAATTCTGTCATCAAAACATTTGACAGCTGAGCAGTGAAGAACTATCTATTTCATTTAAGCTTTAATAGGGAGTGAGATGAATAGGAAATTATCAACCAGCAGCAGTGTAAGATGCTCTGTCTGCTGATCTCCAGAGTCCCCAGAGATGTTTCTCTCAGCAGCAGGCCAAGGGCTGTTCTGTGACACTGTGCAGGTTAAGCAGGGATTTACACTGAATCAATTGTCTATTGTCTGTTAATGGCTCCATGAGGTAAAGCATATTGCAGATTTATAAACCTCTCAACAGGACATTAATAAATCATACAGCAAGAGGATGTAGCAAAGTGGGACTGCTGGACCTCGGAACAGGTTTAGCTATAAACTACTACACATATAATATTAACACATGGTGCGAAACACACCAACAACAACAATTCACATTTTAACAATACATTTATGCTAATCACTGAGAACTGAACATTAAATATCTTATTTTTAAAAAGGGTAACAATATATTCATCCTGTTTCAAACAGACATCAATTTATTCATCCATCCATCATAAAATTACAAACCCGTCATTCTAATTCTTTGCAATGCAAGCCTTTAAAAATTTGACACACATTTAAGATAGAACATGAGATAAGTTTTGAAGGGAGCATTCTCAGGATCTATCTAGCTAGATAGCTAGCTAGCTATTTATTTGTGCATGACTGAAATAAAACTCATTGTTGTTATTAAATTATCATATTCATTACAATTAAAAATAATAAATAATAACAAAGGAACTGTGTATGAAACTGGATGCATTGTTTTGTAATTGTATCAGAACTTTAGATCAGACATTTTTCATCCATAATTCATTATTTCATTCTACAGAATACTGATACACCTAAAACCACTTAGAAGATGTTTGGCCACCTAGAATCTTAACATTTGAAATACAATTTTAGTTCAAGGCTATATGTCTGTGCAGATTCTCAGTCATCCAGGTCATAGTAAATTGAAATCAACTGGACTAGATTTCATCTAGTTTTTTCAGTTCAAGGCTATAATTCAACTCATGGAACATAATAGAAAATAACATGAAATATGATGTGCTGGACATAAATGAAACATTTTTAATCAGCTAATATTTAATATTTATGTTTAAGCAACCAACAATTGTTTTATTGCTAATGATACATTACATTTAGAATTAATGATTAATGGCCCCTTGATTGATCTCATTACCATATCATAATATGGTATTCACTCAAGATCAACAGAGGAATCAAACAGAATGCAATTTTATTTTACTTTATAATACCTCATAGTATCTTTACATAAACTGAATGTATGCTGTATAGCCTTTTTATTGTGCCACCCTAGGATTTTCATTAGCCCCATCTGGCCCCTCTACTAAATATTTTCTCCAGGCACCACTGCTGTTTTGAAACAGACCAACAGCGCTGAAAAAATAGATGGATAATCTGGATCTGAGAGGGTTTACCTTCTAATGTACCTCGCACTGTCATGGCTTTGAACTTTTCTTCTGGTTAATTAAATTAGAGGAAGAGTCATGGCCTCAGTAGAAGATACTGTGGACTCTGGGTGTAACTGTGGATAATTTCACCCCGTAACTCTCCCTCATTGTGCTTCGCATCATGTTCACTTTGTGTTCTGGGGTCGATTGGTTTTCCATAGAAATGTTAATCACAGTGTCATTCTCAGAGGACCACAGCCAGGCTTTCCTCTGCTGACACAATTAATCAACAGACATATGGAGTCAATTTGGCTGTAGTTCCTTTGTGACACACACACACACACACACACACACACACACACACACACACACACACACACACACACACACACACACACAAAGGCATGACAGGCCCCTGGGAGCAACTCTGCAGCTTTCACTGTAAATCAGCTCATTCACACTGGACCTGACTTCAATTAATTTTCACTTTAACCGTGTACTGTTATCACATTTTTGCAGGTAATGAAGTAACCACTTGATCTGTTTAAGTAATGCCAATTTAGTATTTGTTCGGCAATGTGAGTCCTTGTTGTCTGACTAGCACCTACATGTGGTTCAGAGCACAGTAGTCTGTCAGTGAGGAGACACCAGTGTTCCATTTGCACATTATAGCTGCGTTGATGCTGTCAGAACCTAACGAGTGGTACACCCCATGCTTCTTCTCATCACCCGGCATAACCTCACAGGTTGATGTAGACCATCCTACTTTGCTTTTCCAATGTATTTTTCTGTGTCAGTCTAGAGGAGAACACTCACAGCTGGGCAGAGGGGGAGCACAGGACATGAAGTATCACTCCACCGTGCAACGATCGGTCATTAACGGAGGCTATGAGTAGTTTATTAAACAGTTGTTGAATGTGCAGAACACAAACTTGCAGAAATGTGACATCATCACCGCTTTTTCAGTGATCCACTCACTGAAGCCTCCATTTTACCCCTAAACCACTGCATGGATGTTTGTCATGTCTGCTGTTTTTCTTAAATAACTTTCAAACTAATAATGATATCAGCATCATTCCAAATGACAGCCCTAGGTTTTCATGGTCAAGCAATCATATGGTGTATCCTGAAGCTGCTGTGCTGTGTTGAGTTTTGAATCTTTACTTTTTGTCATCCTACCTCCTTTGAAGTCCCTTTTAAGTGATCTTAGTTTTGAATTGATAGCCTTATTTCCCCAATCGTGGTAGTTTGGGTCACTAGAGTCCTACTGGGACCTATGCGTCAATCAGTTTTTAACTGTGTTGCTCACCATCACAGGCAGCAACTGCTTCTATCCAGTCAAAAATGCCTCCACTCTCTTCTCCACCAGACTGACAAGGTTGTGACTGAATAGAAAGGTGGAACAGAAGGTGACTGAACTGGAAAAATGAATTTCAACACTCCACCAAATCCAAGAGGATGAGCGTTTCCTGGACTCCTTGCCAGCCGAGAGCTCCTGTGTGCTTCTGCTGACAACATTGACAACCCCTGTCCTGGCCTATCTGCTACAACAGCATCAGAGCCACTGGTCTCTGACACAAACCAGGAGGATGATCCCTGGCCTAGATTGGGTTCTAAGCCCAGACTGAAGAACTGCTCCATAGCTGCTGTGTCAGAGCCCTGGACTATAGTTAAGGGCTCGTGGAAGCGAATGCCTCACGCTCCCCGTCTCTCATATCTGGCACCATCCAGCTGGGAAATAGGTTTGAAGTCCTAGAGATGCTCAATAACCAGCTACTCAATGCCATCCAGGCCACTGGACAGCCAAGCACAGCTGCTAGGACACTCCAGCCAAGTCCAAAATCTAGTTACCTCAAGTCTCCCTGCTCACCACAGACAGCCACCCACAACTGGCTCAGCTCCTTAGGCCCACAGACTTCAGGATTCTCCCAACAGCCAAGGTAACCCCCCCTCTGGTCTGGTTGTGGGCTCATCTTTGGTCTGTCATGTCACTTTATCAAAGTCACAAACCACCTGCAAACCAGGGGCACATTTAGAGGACATGCATGCCAATTTCCCAGCGCTTCCTTGTTGGCAAAGTTCTGATTCTACAGTGATTCTGCATGTTGCAGCAAAAGACAGCTGATCAGCAGTCTGAAAAACTCGGAGAACGTTGTCCTTGATCATATCTGCAAAGGACTGTAGCATTATATCATTTCTGGTCTGATGGTGGCTGCATGCTATGGTGACATGAAATTGAGCCAAATCAGACAATTACACACATGGTTGAAAGGATACTGTTGCTCCCTAGGACTGCGTTTTGTGGACAATTTTACTGTATTCATGGGTTGACTTGACCTGTTCACCAGGGATGGACTTCACCTCAGCAGGTCTGGCTCCCACCTGTTAGCACTTAATATGTAGTTAGCAGTTCTCTCCACCATTGGTATTAGCCCTTGACAACCACTGAGTAATAGTTTACTCACCCAAAACTCCCAGTACCCCATAGAGACTGTGTCTGCCCGCCCCCCGACCACCTAAATTATATAATTCAAAAATCAACTAAATGGAGTTATTCATAAGAACTTAATTAAAATTAAGACTACTCCTTTTATAGAACAAAATAACAGGACAATCAAATGTGGACTATTAAATATCAGATCTCTCTTGTCTGAATATCT